TTCTGATAGAATACCAACATGTCAGCTTTGAGAATTGTCCGATACAGATATTGATCGGATACGATATCAGCGCGAATCATACCAGCCTTTATTATTTAGTTTATACCGTAGAATGTTAGAAAAGGGTTTATTAAATAATATTACCAAAACAGGGAACAAAGTCAACAACACAAGGTATGAAAAGAATTGAGCCATTTAAAATTGACCAATGAGTTATAGAAACTTTAGAGACAAGAGTTTTTCTATCAGTGTGAAAATATCAGAGATTTTAGACGCCAGTCGATTAAATTCGATTGTTATTTTTGGACTGATATCTGATATTTGTATCAGATCGAGACATCAAGACTCTAAAAAAAGCTTTTTTTTCTCCCTTATCTGAAAGATGATCCATCTCACATACCTCTCTGATGATGCTGAGGCTGGCCTGGTCCAGGGGAGCAGGGCTGCCAGCATGTCTGAAACGTCGCCACAGAGCTTTCTCTCTGAGCTCCCACTGAGCCGCAGCTTTGTTATGAGACCTGTGCATCTCATGTCGATGACTCTGAAGCAGAGGAAAATAAAAAATCTCTTTTGCAGTTAAACCAAATGTCAGATCCTGTGAGAAAAAAGTTTCTCTCAGACTATGTTGCTTAAAGATACTGCTATAATCAAAATATTTTACCAGCTCAGCAGGAGTCAGCTTGTGCACAGAGAGGTCGTTAACAGTCCCCTGAAGCAATACGGGCAACAATTAGGTTTACAAAAAAAATGCTCTACAACAATAACACAACAAAGGTTTCATCTTGCTACCATTCATTCAAAAAACTAAGAAGAAATTATGTTTTATGCCGATAATCAGACCCTTAGATTATCTTGGTCTTGGTCTAAGACCATAAACAAGTGGGCTGTGATCAAATGTAGTTGATCTGTAGTATTTGTATTAAGTGTAGCCCTAACTACTCACCACCCAGTCTTTCCTGGGAGCTGCTGTCTTCTTAGGGCGAACAGCTCTTTTCCCTTTAGCTAGCTGCTGCTGCTGCTGTGGACCCTTCCTCACCAACGACATCGACCCACTCAGTAAGCTAGCTAAGAGGCGTTAAACAAACTAATTCAAACCCCCTTCTGGTTGCAATTTCTGCGTCACTGCTTATCAAACCCCGAAAACCAAAACTGAATTTTTCTGTCTGACGCTAATGTAAGTCTGAAAAATTGACTTTATGCGGATATAAATATCAGAAAGAAAGCTAGGAACAGTAAACCTGTAACTTCTTAGCGACTGATTTAAATTGTCGCGCGCCACTTCCTGTGCTGTTGCTACGGAAACCTTTGCTTCGTCCTGTAGCTCACGGAACCAGCTTTAAGGATCACTGGCGCCACCGAGCGGCCCGGATGAATGCATACAATGATTTAATCATATAAGCCTTTTTAAAGGTGAATTCTCAAGCAGAACCTTATAAGAGAATAAAAAGATGAACTACCCACACATAAATCAAAATATATAGTATATAGCTGTATAGTTTATACATAGTAGACTGTGTTAATGTAATGTGAAGTAAAATAAAATTATACATAATTTTCCCATTTATAACATATGGAAATGTTAAATATGTGACATGCATTTGTCTTTTTACATAGTCATCCACCTGCATATTTGAACATATTTGAAATTAGTATTTAACAAATGCAAGCCAACATATATGTCTCTTATAACCTGAAGAAAAAAAAACAAGAACACAATCAGAGAAGAAGAAGAATAACTTCTTTGTCTTATTTTTATTTATTTTTTTTGAAAGAAATGAATATTAGACACGCATTCCATAAATAAGAACAAAACAGAACCCTTTGATCTGCATACCAGACTCTTCTGATGTTCACAAATGCTCTCCATTCAACCTTACTGAGGCTCAGCTATTTTGGGAATTGGGTAAAGATTTTTGTCTCTAAATTGGGAAAGCAGCAAGAGACATGCCTAAAAAGCACTAGAGTAAATGCATTTAAAAGATTCAACAAAAGTTAGAAGGAGAGGCCAGAATAATGGACATTTGTAGAAAGGAAAAACACCTAAACAATCCCCCAAAAACATCTATAATTGATTTAAGACCATTTGTGAATGAATATACAAGTAATTGTATTTCATATAGTGTTAATGTAAGTTAAAATACATTTACTTGTATATTTATTCACAAATTGTCTTAAATCAGCTAATGAACAGTAAACACATGAACAGCAACACGTACATTGACTGCTTTTATTTCTTACATAAAGGAAGAGGATGGCAATGCATTGTCTTTGTAAGAGCCTAAAGATTTACACCATTTATAGCAAGCAATTTTTATATTATATTTCTATTTATCATTTATAACAGTATGCCAAGATATTGGGAGAGAAGAGGTAAACAAGGGGCTCAGATTTCTTGTTGGAAATTTCTGTTTTTTTTTGTATAGGCCTATGGATCAAAACTTTCTTTTTTTTAAATTTTCTGAGTCTTCATTGATCTATTATCGCTGAGCACATGAAAATGTATCAATGTAGCGCAACACCACTAGATGGCAATTGTGTTGCATAGAATACCAATGCATGCGTGTACAGGTGCTGGTCATAAAATTAGAATATCATAAAAAAGTAGATTGATTTCAGTAATTCCATTTAAAAAGTGAAACTTGTATATTATATTCATACATTACATACAAACTCATATATTTCAGATGTTTATTTTGTTTAATTTTGATGATTACAAATGACAACAAATGAAAATCTCAAATTCATCATATCAGAAAATTAGAATATTACTGAAGACCAATAAAAACAAAGGATTTATAGAAATGTTGGCCAACTGAAAAGTATGAACATGAAAAGTATGAGCATGTACAGCACTCAGTATTTAGTTGGGCCTCCTTTGGCCTGTATTACTGCAGCAATGCGGCGTGGCATGGAGTCGATCAGTCTGTGGCACTGCTCAGGTGTTATGATAGCCCAGGTTGCTCTAATAGTGGCTTTTAGCTCTTCTGAATTGTTGGGTCTGGTGTATTGCATCTTCTTCTTCACAATACCCCATAGATTTTCTATGGGGTTAAGGTCAGGAGAGTTTGCTGGCCAATTAAGAACAGGGATACCATGGTCCTTCAACCAGGTACTGGTAGCTTTGGCACTGTGTGCAGGTGCCAAGTCCTGTTGGAAAATGAAATCTGCATCTCCAAAAAGTTGGTCAGCTGCAGGAAGCATGAAGTGCTCTAAAACTTCCTGGTATGTGGCTGCGTTGACCCTGGACCTCAGAAAACACAATGGACCAACACCAGCAGATGACATGGCACCCCAAACCATCACTGACTGTGGAAACTTTACACTGGACTTCAAGCAACGTGGATGAAGTGCCTCTCTTCTTTTCCTCCAGACTCTGGGACCTTGATTTCCAAAGGAAATGCAAAATTTACTTTCATCAGAGAACATGACTTTGGACCACTCACCAGCAGTCCAGTCCTGTTTCTCTTTAGCCCAGGCAAGACGCTTCTGACGCTGTCTGTGGTTCAAGAGTGGCTTGACACAAGGAATGCGACAGCAGAAACCCATGTCTTTCATACGTCTGTGTGTGGTGGTTCTTGAAGCACTCACTCCAGCTGCAGTCCACTCTTTGTGAATCTCCCCCACATTTTTGAAGGGGTTTTGTTTCACAATCCTCTCCAGGGTGCGATTATCTCTCTTGCTTGTACACTTTTTTCGACCACATCTTTTCCTTCCCTTCGCCTCTCTATTAATGTGCTTGGACACTGAGCTCTGTGAACAGCCAGCCTCTTTAGCGATGACCTTTTGTGTCTTGCCCTCCTTGTGCAAGGTGTCGATGGTCGTCTTTTGGACAACTGTCAAGTCAGCAGTCTTCCCCATGATTGTGTAGCCTATAGAACTAGACTGAAAGACCATTTAAAGGCTTTTGCAGGTGGTTTGAGTTAATTAGCTGATTAGAGTGTGGCACCAGGGGCCATCAATTTTGAACCTTTTCACAATATTCTAATTTTCTGATATGATGAATTTGAGATTTTCATTTGTTGTCATTTGTAATCATCAAAATTAAACAAAATAAACATCTGAAATATATGAGTTTGTATGTAATGTATGAATATAATATACAAGTTTCACTTTTTAAATGGAATTACTGAAATCAATCTACTTTTTCATGATATTCTAATTTTATGACCAGCACCTGTAGAGTAAAGGAATCATCTGCAAGGAAAAGAGCCAAACTGCCAAAAATATTTGCATCGGCATCAAAAAATGGATGTTTGGGACTTTTGACACATAAGTTTGTCCTGAATTTGTTTAAAAAACTTGTAGAAGGCGTTTTTTTTTTTTTCTAAGAGACAATCTCAAAAACCAATGTATGTGCATTTAACCTCTTTCACTCTGACACCCCTAAATAAAATCCCCTTGCACACAAAGAACATGCAGTGATACTTGCTACTGGTATGGCCAAGGATTAATTTAGTTTCTCTCTCATAATGACATGATTATCACAATGTATTATTTTAAATTCCCCCCCCCCCCCCTTTTTTTTATATATATATAGCAGCTGCTTTTGTTTTACTGCCTCCGGATTATCCTTTTATAATTTTCTGTTAGAGCTAATAAATCCTGATAGAGACCAAGATGTAAATAAATAAGAATGTGATGAAAATATTAATTTAGCTGTTTTACAGTTTATTAAACTCCCAAATTCAGATTCTTAAGAAGGATGGATTATAAAAAAAAAAAAAAAAAATCAAGGAAAAGGTTTGTTTACTGGAAAGTTAACACATCCACTAAGTTTTTGGTTAAGGGTTTTTCTTGCATAACTTGCTAAATCAATGCCTTTTCTCTCACTTTTTTTTTTTTTTTTTTTTACTTTTGCGCCCTTTTCTATCGCCTTTTTTCCTTCTGCTAAACTTTCTGCTGCACCTGTATTTGAAGGTCCAACACGAAGCTGTCTGACAGTTTTTTACCTGATGATACTCATGCAGAGACACAGTGGGGTGCTTCATTTGCATCTGTCCTCTTTTACGCCCCACAGACTCACAGTGGGAGAGTCTGCGCAGCTCAGTCAGTCAGCAGCACACAGAGAAACAGACGCCGATGCGCACTTGGCCGATTGACTTTTGACTTTAAACAATGCAGAGCAGGACAGAAAAGTTGGAAATTGTATCTTTGGGGACTGGACTGGCTGGGACTTGGACAGCAGCTGTGCGCCAACGAATGTGCGTCCATGTGATGGTTCCCCTGCATTCCTAGGAGAGTCATCTGAAGAGCTGGGAGAAGACGCGAACAGCCGGACTGCAGCCAACAGAGAGAAATCCATAAATCCTTTTTTTATATATTGGATTTACCACAGCTGGAATATCAGTTTAACTTTCGTTTTAAGACAGCTTCACTGTATAAGGCACACACTGGAGCCTACTTTTGGAGACGTTGGATCTGTTTTACGCACGGGATTTTCTCAACAAATGACAACCTGTGTTCGCACCACATCTCTCCTCCTTCATCCTCTCAGGTCTTTTTACCACATAGACCCAAATCATCGCCACCCGCTGCAACAGCTTTGACAAAGGAGCCTCAAAGGTGACCCTCCGTGCATCCAAACGCACCAGCGTGCGGCTGAGAATGCGGGAAGGAGGAATCCCGATGTCGGTCCCCGTGGTTTTGACTCTGCTTCTGGTCGTCATAGACGTGAAGGCCAGCGGGGAATACTGTCACGGGTGGCGAGACCCACAGGGCGCCTGGAAGGACGGGTTCCAGTGCCCGGAGAAGATCGACGGGGTTGACGCGATCATCTGCTGCGGGAAGTGCGAGCTGCGGTACTGCTGCGCCAGCACGGACGCACGGCTGGATCAGGGCAGCTGCGAGAACGACAAGCTGACTGAGGTACCAGGGACGGAGAGCAAAGAGAACAAGGACTCCAGGGCAGGTAAAGATGAAATAAATGGTTCCCCTGGTTAAGCACTGCCTAATGCTCAGAAAATAGAATCAAAAAAACAAAACATGGTTTAATAATAATCTAAATAGTCTGTAAAACAACAAAACAATTTAGTTGACCACCACTCTGAATATGCATGTTTCACATTCGCTTCAATCTCAAGCTGGTTAAATCATTTAAAACAGACTAAAAACAATCTCTAATTGGATTATTAAAAACTTTTATGAAGTGTAGCATAATGTAGGTAAAGTCTGACCGGTCTAAGATTGCAAGAAATAAGTCTTAGGAAAAAGACACCTCTTTAAATTCGCACCAAATCATAAATTATAACTATGGTGCATGTCCCTTAAACACCACAAGGGGCGCTGCTCTCTCTTAAAGTGAAGCTAAACAGTAAAACAAAACTTACTGAAAGCAGAGTTGGCATTGATCTTATTGATTTGTATGTATTACTGTTCTCCAATGAGCATGGCGCATCTGCAGGAAGAGCAACAATATTTTTTAAAGAAACAGTCATTGACCAGATTTGTAAATAACCAAAACAAAATTACCTCATCCTAGGTGCCTAAATCTATTTAATGGAAAAGTAATGTCAAATGATTCTCATTTTCTTTAGGATGACTTTGAACTTCTTAAGCTGGGATTCTCTGAAAAGAAGAATAAAATCAGAGTTCTTAGATAATAAAAGTGCTTTAGTGTAACCCATTTGGCAGTGATGCCTTGTCTAAAAATGTAGATAGAAAAAGAACAAAAACTTGTTCTTATCCAGCTTACTAGAAGTACTGACAGCTTGAAAAATAGATTAATTATAGTATAAATACTTCATACATTGAATAATTTAAATAATTGCATAAAGAAGATATACTTTTAGATCTCCATTGAAACATTTTGTTTTTTCATTTTGATGGTTTGCCATTGTCATATGAACCTCTGCTCATGATACTTTTGGGCTTGGTGGTCCAGTTGGGAACGTGTGAAGGTCTGGTTTTCCCCTCCATTAACATAGTATTGCCCACAGCAGCCATTACTGTGTTAAAAAGGACTCATCTGTTGCGACAGCTGCACAGGAGACAGCAGACTCTTCGAAAAACCAGTTAACAGCCCTCACAAATGGCAAATTGTGCCACGCCGTTGGACTTTATAAATAGCCGTGTTTGTCCTGTAACAGTGCAGAGTTGATCCAGGCTCAATCACGCCATCCCCACGGGGATCAAATTTGGACTTGACCAGATCTTGGAGAGTGGCCGGTCCAAGGTGCTGACAGGACTGTTCATAAAACAAGGGGAAAAATAAATAAATTATGTGATTCTCCTTTTTAACAACCGACCTCCCTCCCACTGCAGCCTCTGTGGGTGTTAGGAGTTTCTCCCCACATTCAGAGAGGCATAATCACCAAAAACAACAGCTAAACCTGTATTTTTCAGCTTATGTTGCTGATTTGTTGACAAAACAAAATCAGTCGTCCTTGCCGACATTCCCTTGAGTTAATCTTCCATAAAGTCTTTGAACTTCCCTTTTATTTTTTTTTAAGGCATCAAGAAGAAAGCAAATATTAGTCAGGAGAGGCTTATTGCTTGTTTTTGTTCCCTGGTCTTCCAGTGTAACCTGTCATTTGCAGCTATCATACCTTATCACTACAGGAAGAGGAATATACATTCCATTCTATGGCTTCCTGCCAAAATTACCTCAACATGGTCATTTTTTCCCCCCACCAAGTACAAAGAGCATGTTTTTTTTTATTTAAACAGGAAAACCTTGTTCAATTTGCACATCTTGCTCATTTTTCAATTAATTATAGTCTATTCATCATTCTAGAATGATACAGTGGCAGGAAATTATTAATGTGCTCAACATGAGGGAACATGTGGTATTTAGGAACAAGAGAATCCCCGTGGGACGGGCCCCGAGGAGACAGAGGGAGGCTGGCTGGCCGGCCTCAGACAGACTCTGCCCCAAACAAGAGCTTAAAGTGAGGGGGGGTTGCCGCTAACTGCAGCGTGGCCGCCACAGCTCAGCTGCAGCAACAGGTGTGGACGAGTGACAAGAAACAATAGGGGAGCTTTGACCGCCCTGCGCACACAAAAATATCCCTGCTCATTAAAAGACATCAAATCCAAATATATTTAATCTACACACTAATAAATGTTCATCTACTTTCACATAAAAGTTTTCCTCTTTTTCCACCCCATCAGTCCAGCCTCCCAGATGTGCATTATGATCCTTCACATGGGCGGTTCTACACAGGGGCCAACAGGTGCCAGTGCCCCTGTAGAACTAGTTCTGGCCTCTTATGGCCCCCGTATAAAAACATAATGCTAAATCCATTTCTTATGACATGAGGTGACAGAATGGATTGGAATTGGCTGGTCCTTTACACCACTTTAGTCTCTCAATGTTACTGTTCACTTTAGAAATAAGGTGTGAATCCCTACGCTTCAGCCATGTTGACATAATATCACAGTTTTCACCTTCTAGATCAGGGGTCTCCATAGTGGGGGCCTGGGACTCAGTGGATGATAGACACCAATTGGACGGTCACAAGATAGTTTTCACAATCACTGTGATATATATATATAGGCGAAAGAGACATCATGAGATACATGAGTGTCCCATAAAATAACAAAATGCACCATAACATCAGTACATCTAGCATTTATTGAAATAGCTGTCTCTAATACAAGATTCAAATATACCAAATTAAATAATTAAATGTCTTATTAAGTAATTGAAAACACTTTAAAATGATCAATGAATAATTGAATGTTATTTAAAAAATAAATATATTCAAAACAAAATATAATTGCAATATTTTATATGTATGTATTAATATAGAGTAGGGTTGATTGATGAATTGATTGATGGACTTTATTGATCTCAGAGTGGAGAAATGTACTCGTTACATCAGCTCAAATAGTCAAAGGAGACCAATGTGGCATAGGAAGAAAAAGGTGGATGGGATATATACAGTATATACAGTGCGTACACATATGACAGCTTTTTTTCTTAATAGTAGGATTATTATACAGGATTATTGCACAGGGTGACATTTTATTTGAATTTTGGAGGCACTCTAGACTATTTCAATGTTTATTTCTGGGGTAACAGGCTTAAATGTTTTGCAGCCCCTGTTTTAGACCTGCCAGGCTCAGAACTGAAGGATCCAGTATTCGAGGCGGACAAACAGATTTCTCAGAACGTTTCTTGAAAACAGAATTGGGGTGAGCGGCGTCAGCGTCTAAGGCAGTAACCTCTGGTCTTAAAGTTCAGTCCGAATCCATAGGTAGGGGATGTGTCCGGTCAACTGGATGCCAATGCCAAGAGGTCAGAGATCCAGTGAGATAGAATCTCACTAACAGCTCAAAATAATCTGGCACTGATGACTGGTTTGAAGGCTGGTTAAATAGAGTCTACTGCAGCTGGATGAGATGAGTGGGAAATGTGAACTGGATGGAGTTAAGCAGGTGTTTGAAATGCGTAATCAGACCAGGCATCAGTTTTGAGATCATGACAAGATCAAGGACACTGACTATATTAAATAATGCATGATTTCCCTGTTTTTTAGTTTTTTTTATGTGCTCCCATGAAAAAAACACTGGCTTAACACTGCCCCCCTGAAAAATCGGGTCTAGAACTGCCAATCTTCAGTTTCATAGCATAAAGTTCATAGTTGCTACATGGTGACTTAAAAAGGTGTTGATTAAATGTACCTCTTGTCACCTTCAACTAAAAGTTTTAATGCATTTTTATGGGAATTTTATATGAACGACCAAAGTAAAGCTGTGTAAAAGTATCAAATGGAATAAACAAAGATCTGAAAAGTGTAACCTTAGTTTTAGTTTTTTGCCTCACAGCATTCTGCATGAAGATTAGAGATAAACCTATGTCAAAATAATCATCATCAGATCTGATCTTTTGCTCTGTTTCTAGTCTACATGATGTTGCTTTAACTCTCCAAATTTATGTCCAAACTATGCCATTTACACTCCTTATAAATATTAAAATCCCAACAAAACCTTTTAAGGTTTTTGATTGTATTGTGAAAAAAAGATGAATGAAGTTCAAGGTATTAAAAAAACAACACTTCTGCAGGGCATTTTCAGCTAAAGGAACAGACTGTATTTCCTTTGTGATTGAGCAGGTAAAACTTGAAGCTGGATTTCTTTCCCTCTGATTTACTGTGTGGTTTTGAAAAAATAAGTCTCCCCAGTGAGAGAAGAGGTGAAGTCAGAAAAAAAGTTTTTTTTAGGCAGAGATGTTGTAATTGAAGCTGTATCAAAGAAAGACAGAAAGACTCCAAGAGATCTGCTGCAAGGCTTCTGTTAAATCTTTGGAGCTCTGACACCACCAAGCAGAAATGGGTCAAGGTCCTGCTTTGCTTCAGGTCCATGCTCTCCTGCCTCCCCCTTTACAAACGTCTCATGCTGTAATCCCTATAATACCTCACGACTTTTGATGAGCATTCTGAAAAAGTCATAAGATTGCATTTCAAAAGAGCACAGAGACAAAAGGAAACCAGAGCAGGCTGCCACCTTTTTCTCTCCGGCCTACAGTTACACCTCCTAACAGCACTCAGCTACACCCTGTGGGAACAATAAGGCTAAATTAATCACTTTTAAATGTCACATGGACATTATTGTGTTTGGTGGGAATGAATGGCTGCAGGAAACAGCTCATGAGTGACATCATGCTACATGCCGTCTGGGCGAAATTCACTCTCTCTGCACTTTTCCCATTTGGCAAAAACCTGGAGCGTTCTTGTCGATCGAGTTCCAAAGTTGTTCCTGGAGCGGCTCCATGCTCTCCTAACACATTAACACTCTAAAAGGGAGTTTTTTTACATGTAAAAATGCCCTGACTTTACATGTTTAACAACAGACTCTGATTGTTGGTGCTGTGAAAGCTGTTTGAGCATGATCTGCTGTTGTTACTAAAAGAAAAAAAAACCTCAGTAAGGTCAGCAAGAAGGAACCGGTTTATTCTTCTGATTTACAGGGTGGAATAACTTTTCTTTGCAACATTAAATCAGTTCACTTTAAAGCTTTTCTTTAAACTGATGCCAAGTGCTGCAGTTCAGCTACAGTAACTTATTTTCATAAGCCTAGTCATAAATAGCGTAGGAAAAAGAAGGGTCACAAATATCCACTGGCAGCTGGGTTTAGGAACGCCATGCAGTCCAACACACACACATATGCAGAGAGGTCTGTGGGGTGAAGGAGTCTGAGGACACAGCAGGGTGTGGAGGATTAAAACGGATCAAAACAAAGTTAATAACTGCTAATGAGAGCCTCAGACCCCCTGGGGACCCCAATACCTCTCATTCTTTGAATCTACTACAAACACTTGCCTTGTTCAGAACATTGCAAAGTCATAAACCTTTTTATATTTTGTCACATTAAATCCCTCCAATAACCCGACTTGTTTTGTGTTTTTGCTGTCAAAGGTTATAAGATATTCCAAAATTCATTCTTCTTTTCATTTAGTACTTGTACATCCATAAACAGAAAGAAGACCGCCATGTAAACAATGCATCTAAACTATTAGGCACCACAAGCAGAGAATTAAATGAGGTTTATGGTATGTCTGGAGGATCAGCACAAAAAACATTGTGATCTTTATGGAAGACTGGGGGAAAAAATGAAAGTCATAGAGCAGACACAGCAAAAAATATGGATCAAAGTTTTCTGGTCCATTGAGGCAAAAACTGAAATCTCTGATCTAATTTTAAAATGCTTTGTGTGAAGGAAAGCTAACACTACTGATCCCATGGTGACACATGGTAGTGGCAGCATTAGGCTGTGTGAATTATTCAGCATAGCTGAACTCATCAGATTATTTAGTCAAATACAATACAGAAGAGAAAGCCATCCATCCATCCATCCATCCATCCATCCATCCATCCATCCATCCATCCATCCACTTCCGCTTATACGTCCCTCTCCCCAGCCACTTCGGCCAGCTCCTCCGGGGAAATCCCAAGGCGCTCCCAGGCCAGCCGAGAAACATAGTCCCTCCAGCATGTCCTGGGTCTCCCCCTGGGCCTCCTCTCGGTGGGACACCTCACCAGGGAAACGTCCAGGAGGCATCCTGGCACAGAAGAGAATGCATCATTTTCTTTTTGTATCCCAAAAAGAACTCGATAAAATCCCTACAAAATACATAGAAGATAGCAGTTATAGGTGGGGTTATTAATCACTTATAATCACTGGAATGTTTTTTTGACCCCCCACAAAATTGCTGCATTTATAGTGACATTCTTTTAATTTAAAACATTTATTTTAATGTGTAACCTAACTTTGTGGTGTATATTTCATTTTTGTATAAATACCTTCCAAAAATGGGTCATTAACTCTTTCAGTTCTACCTTTCCCCCCCTGTAGTTACACTGAACTACCCCCGGGGGTGTGCCTCACAATATGGGGACGGCTGCCATAGTCAAACATGGTGGTGGTGTAGTCATGCTGTGGCATTGCTTTTCATCAGCAAGAAGTTAAGTATTTGGCAAATAGAATATATGTAATAGCGGCAGCAGAGAGTATGAGATGGAAAGAGGGTCAGTGATTTTGATTTTAATTTATTAACTAGTTAGAATGGCTTATTTATGACTCAAGGAAGTTTGTGTTCTCTGATTTTAGTTTGAAACAAGATCGAACTGATTTGCAGACCAGGGCAAAAGAAGATAAAGATCATACTGCGTTTTGACCTAGGGGGACTGAATACTTTATATGTTTTTCTTATATTTATTTATAAAACCATTGTTAAAAAATCCTGCCTTACTTTTTTTTTACTTCATAATTTTTTCTCTTTGTGTTGGTCTATCACATGAAATACCCTGAAGTTTGTGGCTATAACATCACAAAACATGGAAAAAATTGGCAGTAGGATATAGCTCTTGTGAATGTTTTTAATTTTAAGTCAGTATTTTGCAGCTGATAAGGCTTTAACTGAGTTATTTAATAATCCTGTGTTGTCTTCTTCCAGTGCCCATCTACGTGCCCTTCCTGATCGTTGGATCTGTGTTTGTGGCCTTCATCCTGGTGGGTTCTGTGGTCGCCGTGTGCTGCTGCCGCTGCCTCAGACCCAAGCAGGAGCTCTCCTCAGCTGGTGCCTCAGGAGGCGGGACCAGCGGCGGACGCCTCCTGGAAACGATCCCAATGATGGCCAACAGCTCCAGGGGTTCATCATCTCTGCAGTCCAGCACGGCCACCTCGTCCAGCTCTTCGGCTCCGCCCGCTGGGACCCGCACTGGTCCCGCTCCCCTGATGCGGGCTCAGGCCTCCTGCTGTCTGCCCCCTGACGCCAGCGTCTTTGTGAACATGCCCACTAACTTCTCGGTTCTTAACTGCCAGCAGGCCACCCAGATCATGTCCCACCAGTCACAGTTCATGCACCCACAGTACATCGGCTACGCCCACCCTGTGGCCCCTACGGCAGCCTTTTTAGACCACAGCCAGGGGGGATACAGACACCTCCAGTCGCCATGCCCTCCTCCAACAGCCGGATCCAGTGCAACCAGTGACAATAAATCCCCTCCAGTGACAGTGTGATGACGGAAGGGTGTCAAACCTGCAGACCACTCCGCACTTTGTTGGAGCAGGGACGTTTGGGCTCCCATCCAAAATGGAGAAAGGAAAGGAAAAAAGAATAATGAGTCCGACTCACATGAAGGACTTTTAAAGCTGTTGCTAGTCTGGACCCTGCCCTGCTATTGTTTGGTGTGTGGTGTTCCATATGATTTGTTGGCTAAGTTTAATTGAGCTAAGCTCAACCCATGACTGGAGGGTTAATGGATCCATAAGAACTTCTCTGCAAACTGAATGTTTAAGGGTTTATTTACCACAGGCCAGGTGGATAACAATGCACAGTTCAATGCAGTCCAACATGCAGCTCCAATTAACACTGCATGTTTTTCTGTGTGCACGCACTTGTATACTAAGTGTGAATAGAGATTTTCTTGGCTTGTATGTGCAGGAATGAGTGATGACTGTTTGATTTATTGTATGAAAAATGAATCTTAGAGCAAAAACAACCAAAAAAAAAAGAACAGGACCACATGCTTTGTTTTGGCACCGCGCACATCTGTGGCTGTGAATAAATGCGAGTGGGTTTATGCGGCATGGTATGGTTTGTTTGTGTTGAAATCGCGAGGAGAGAAAGCATGTGGATAGAAGTTCAGCCTGAGCCCCCAAAGCGAGGACGGATGTGGTCTCATATGAGTAACTGTGAGTGAACTGGGTGTAATGGGAAATGCAGGTGGTGTGATGTGTAAGGCTCTTGCAATCTCCCAGCAGACCTTTTAAAATCTAATGAAGTGAACACGGGACGCAGACTGTGACGCTCCACCCTACTATACATCCACACTCCATCTCTTTCAAACACCACCCAGAGAGAGAAAAAAGAAAAAAACAGCCCCGAGCGGAAACACACTCACATACCCCCCCACAAATATGGCCAAATTCACACAAGGCCGCTGGTTAATGTACCTGTAAGTGTTACTGAGTGCAAATACAGAGAAAGGAATCTGAAAGTCTAAACCACATTTGTTCCTGTGAGAGGCAGTGGGAACCTTTGATATGGGTCACATGGGCGACTGCCCAGGGAGGCATTAGAAAGGTGGGTGCATGAGCTCTGGATCAAAATAAATTTATTCTGCCTTAACTGAGCAGGGATTCTATTGCTTTAAAGCTTTTGCAGCCAGTGGGGAGAAAAGGGAGACTAGTTTACAGTGTTTCTGAAGGACTGCCATGCATTTTATTTTGCCTCAGAATCTAATTTTCAAATTTTGATTGGCAACGGTGATATATAGGTGTATGTGGTTGTGACAAACACTGCACGGTTCAGTGAACTAGCGTAGGAGTAGCTCCAGGCCAGGTTTAAGCCACAGCTTTCCACTTGAAAAAGGCACGGAAGTGGCACTTATTGGCTGTGAGTTAGGAAAAATATGCAAAACGTGCTTAATTTGCAGCCATTCTGTGTGTGCGTGTGGAGCAGAGCAACATACATTTCAGTGGGAACGTGCAGCTGCACAGAGGGCAACATGTTTGTGGGCCGCATCACTAATCCAAGCTCACCCTAAGGTTGAGTAGGCAGCTTGTGTGAGACAAACAGTGGTCCTGATTCTCTTTGAAATAATATATAAAGCAAAGAGAGGTGATGCTTTTTTTATATGAATGGAGTAAAAATAAACCTTTTAAAACATGCAAGAATGTTGTCTGATCAGAGTGATGCTAAGCTACAGGGGAAATACAAGATTTAGCGTTATCAGGTTGCCAAACGTTACAATCAATCAAACAAAGAAGTATGTTACACACATTCACAGACTAGTCTGCTTCCCATAGCAGAGAATACTAATCTGATTGCTCCAAGCATGAAGAAACTACCGTGGAAGTTTAAAGGTTTGGGTTCCAGGAATGAGAGAAAACAGGCGGAACGAGCCACCGGAGGGAAACCAAAAGAAGTAAATGGATTTCTTTCTTCCAAAGATGGATTCTCCACATCGCAGCAGCTGTGGTTGGTTTTGGCTGAGCCGCCTACAAGAAGGCAGGAGAGAACAGGATCTCCAGCTGAGGAGGGTGATCTCCTAATGATCTGTCAGCGAGGACTCTCCAGAGCCTAATGACAGAGCGTGGGAGAAGTTTGATTTTGGCCACATTTATTGGCACCCGAGATTAATACTGTGTAGAAGCTTCTTTTGCCAATATAAGATTAACTGGGCAACATTTCAGAAGGTCGGCTAAGTTCTCTAGGTTGTCCAGAATCCTGGATCCTTATTTATGCTTCATTTTCTTCAGCTCACCTCACAAGTTTCTATTGGACTACGATCCGATAGCTGAAAGAGTAATGGATGAAGGTTAATTATGGTTCTGGAGAAAAGATTTCTGCAATTTGGCTATTTGTCCTTATCAGTTATTCCACTGTGAGACCAAGTGAAGACATGTTTTGTGTTCTGGCAACAAATCCGGAAAGATTTATTTTAAATGTTTAGATATTTCAAGGTTCCATGAGCATTTTGAAGCAGGCCCATAGCATCACAGATTCTCCACTGCACTTTAACAAAAGGTGGTTTTTAATCCATCCTGGTGTTCCGTAATAAACCCACCTACACGATTTGTTTAGCATCATCTGAACAAAGCCCTCTTTTCCAGTTTAATTCCTTAAGAGAAGCTTTGTGATGAAGAAAAACCAGTTGCGATGAAGGTGGAGTATAATGTTTAAGTTTAGTAACAGAACCTTTTAAGAGATTTTTCTAAAGTCCTTGATATGAAGTATTTATGTGGACTGATTCAACATAGATCCTACAGTATATTCTCGCCTACTGACCTTTCATAAAGAGAAATAGGCCCAAGTGTAACCTCAAAGTTCCACCACAGGGAAACTAAATTCATTATATCCTAGATCGTTTTTAAGAAACATATTAATACCAATTAAAGTTTCAGACATTTAATTTTAATATCAAAGTTACCTCATTTACTAGGATTTAGTAATAGATCAACACAGAGCAATGAATAACTGATGTAAACCCAAAACAAGGCATTGTTTTTAAACTGTAGCCTGCATATGCACTTAATACCTCTGGTAAAAAAATTATTTTTCTCCCAAAATAACCTTTTAACTTTCTGTACCAACTTAGCACATCTACAAACGGAAGTTTTTACCCATTCTTAGTGAAATAGCTCAAGCTCAGGCAGATGGAAGTTGAGGATCTGTAAAAGTCAATGTTACCACAGACTCGATGAGATTTGACTAGGTCTTTCTAACAGAAATATGCTTTCATCTAAACCATTGACGTCCCTCTGGGCTGCAGCGGTTTAACTCTGACTTTAACACTGGGAACCTGGGTTCAAATTGAATTGTAGCCATATGTAGAGGGTCGTCCTCTTCCTGGATGCTGAACCTCCAACCCAAGCTTCAAACGGTCCTGTGAAATCAAATCTGCAAATATAAATATATCTGCAATTTCATTCATTGAAACTCAAAAACAAGAGAACAAACAACAGAACTTGTGTTGATAGCTGCTGAAAGGACGATGTTGGTGGGTGGGGCTGCCTGAGGGTCTATTGAGCCTCGGCCAGTTTCAAAACGAAGTTGAAGAAAGATCAAAACTGTTACTTTCCAGCTGTTTGTTGCTGTGGGAGAAGAAACAGCCCTTTCTGAATGCAATAAAATGCTGGAAGATGTTATTGAAGCAACAAATATTCTACCATACCTATATGAACCTGAGCCAACAGCTGGACCTCCAGGAACAAACTGAAATCGCCACAAAGAAAGAAATCTCCCTGCACAATGAAGAAAGAACCTCCCCACAGCATGATATTGCCATCACCATGCTTTAAATAATTTAAAATAATGAACAAAAACAAATCAAACTTCATTCCTCTGAGCAGAACTGCCACACATCTTTCATTTCCCCCCTTATTAAAAAAACATCAGTTTTTTTTAAAATGCAGGGATAGTTGAAAGATTCTCCTCATTTTAGGGCAATTGTTGGAGTTTATGGATAACTTTAGCAGCTGTCGATCTTGCTAAACCAACTGAATAAACGTAGTTTATGAAAATTTGTTTAATTTAGTCAAATGAATGGTTTTGTCAGTCTAAATTTGGTAAAAATATAAGTGTCAAAATCTTTAGCAAGGGTCTGGCAGTAAATGAATTGTATACCGCAAGCAGTTCATGTCAAATCCTCATGGTCTATTTATAATTTCAGCTGAAAAAAACATAAACCAAACTTCTTTAAAGCTTCCATGGAGCTACGGCTGAACTCAGAAACCTTTACACTAGCAGTGAAAACACACAGACATTTACTCAGGCAATGGACTGATCAGATTTAATGATTAGGACTTCGGTGAACATATCTGGCCTTCCCCACAGCCCCCTCCCAATACCAACCCCTCAGCCTTGCATTCCTGAAGCAGTGTCCTCAACACAGACCACACAGACAATGGACATTCAGACAGAGCAGAGAAACACATGATTCATGCAAGCGTCCTCAATCCAGCCCCTCACCGTTTTGGATGCCTATTAGTAGTAGTTCAAGTAAAATATTCCCTTGGGTATTATCAGTTTCCCTCCACTAACAAGTAGAAAAACATACATGAGAAGGAAAAAAAATAGAAATTCATACACAGGGATGAACATTTTAATAAAAAAATAAAACAAAACATAAAATGTTCAGTTAAAATCATTTATCCAAACAGAAACCTAAGGTCAGGCGTTAAAAACAGACATGCTGCTCCTACATCAGCTGATGGCGTTAAAGGAGGATAAACAGAACTAAGAACTGTCCAGAGGAAAAGGAACACGGAGGCTGTAGAAGTGCAAGGAGATGTAGAGATAAGAGTGAGGGGAAAAAAAATATGAAGAAATAAACAAGAGGAGGTCTCAGAGAGGCTGCAGCAGGGACTAGGCCCGGTTTAAGGTGGAGCGTTGTGCCTCAGCGGCGTCACTGTGGTGTTTGGCAGTGAAGCCTGGCGCTGCCTTGGAGCCGAAACTGGGAGCGGAGCTCCCTTCGCTCCTTTATGAGGAATTTAACCTGTGATCCACTATTGTTCACATCCGTCTGTGCAGCGCTGCGTGACCACAGGTGTGCCAATCCCTCCATCGCTGGAGATGAGCTGCAACCATGGAGGCGAACACACGGAGACGACGCATGCACACGGGGTGCGCAGACACACATGCACAGCTTAACGCCGACGAACTGAAACAGGCGCACACACACACATTTCGACACAGCAGCGTGAAGCGGTCTGAGGTGTATACAGGTACGAGCAACAGTCTTAGAGTTCGACTTGGCATGTCTGGGATATGGTTCGCTCATGCCTGCGGAGCTTTTTTTTCTTTCCCCAAGAGTTTGTTCATTAATTAGCCTGGTCCCTTTATCCGATCCAGTCATCCTGACACCAGACACGGACCCCACCCCAGGTGACAGAAGGTCACGTCATTGTTCTGGTAAGGCCACTGCAGAGGCCTGTCACTAAAGTGTTAGAGGGTGGCTCTCCAGTTGATTTCGCTGTCCTCATGACAACGATTGCTACGTAGAGCCAAAGCGTCGATCGGTTGGGTGGGGGTGGCTAGAGGCTGGGGCGCTGGCGGGTGGTGTCGTAGGAGCGGACTACCTGGGACTGGGAAACCACGCCATGCTCCTCCTGAGAGAAGGCATAACCATCTGAGGAAACACCAAACAGAAGAGGGGATTAGGCAACAAAAGCCACACTTTTCAGTCTTTTATAGACTTTCTGTACTGATGGGTTGAAATTAGGGTCTAAAAAATTAACCAGATTAATCGATTATTAAAATAATTATCAACTAATTAAATAATCGCTTAATCGTTAACTGGAGTCTAGAGACTGTAAAACAAGCCTTTAGGTGACGGAACGACCAACTTAAAGCAGCAATTATACCAAAATTGTAAAACAAAGTATAGGAAGATTTTGCATATAAGATAAAAAAAAACCTTTTTCATCGGTCTATATACTCTATCCAGAACTACTGGAGTGGAAAACTTTTAGTTTCACCAGCTTCAAGTTTAGAAAATTTCTAATCTTTAGCTATCCAATGAGTAATTGAAAAATAAAATAAAATACAGATTGATCATTCTGCAAAATAATTGTTAGCTGTAGCCCTAGTTTAAATCCTAACTAACTATATTTAGGTATTTAAACATCAGGCAGGGTCATGTTTACACTTTCCATTTCATACTTTCAAAATTATATCAACTTTTTCCATAAAGATTAGTGATGATATTTTTCATATCTTTTGGCCTAAGGAAGGTTTTCTTGTGAGATTAACTGAATTTGCTAAATTCAGTTAATCTGAATATGTCTTCACCATCAACTCCAATCAAATTCCTTGTAGGTGCAAAACCTATTTGGCAATAAACTTGATTCTGAATTGTGTTTTTTTAAGTCTTGACTTAGGACAAGTTATTTTGCACATTACAATTTGAAATTTCCATCAAAAAGTATTCAAGCACCACTTAATGGGAAATAAAAACATGGTTATCGACTCTTTTATTCATAAATATCTGACAAACATTCATTTGCATTTTTCTCCTTCTAATTTGCCAAAAAACAAAAACAACCAAGTTGCCTGCAGAAGTCAACCAATTAGTAGACTGAGTTCAGCTTTGTGTAATTTAGTCCCAGTAGCTCCTATAAAGGCTTCACTGATCTTTATGGAAAAAGTTGATATAAGTTTAAGGTTTCTGCAAAAAGCTGACTTCCCAATAATGGTGATCTATCGTATAAACCTTCATTAGGACAGAGAAAAAATTACAGTTTTAAGGTGACAAAAGAGTTCAATAGTTCTGGAAGTCCCTAAATGGAGAGATACTACTAGAAGTTCTGTCTTTAAAGATACTCACGTGACACGGTCTGCTGCACCGAGTTGGATCTTCCAACACTTGAAGGGGTTTTCCTAAATACTCTTGTCAGCAGATGGGCTCGTTCGTTTAGACTGCGACACAGACGGAAAGGAAGAGCAATTAATCTGCAGCTTTAGAGCACAAACAAGACGACAATGTTTGAAGATTATCGACTACTGGATTTCTAATACAACATGCACAGCTAATAAGAACTGCAGACAAAATAAACGTGTGATTTAATACTGAATGTTTTTTAGATTTAATTAAGCCAAACTGTAATCCAACAACTGTCTGCAGAGAAACAGGCCATCCACAGTAAACTTTTCCTCCCCCCTGTGCGTTCATAACTCCTCCTGTCCACGATGAAGAGTGGCCCCTCTGTTTTAAGACCACACGCCGTCACGGCTCCTCTCCTCCCCTGACCAAAAATAACTAAGCCCTGGCCACATATTCCACACCGACGCACACAATCATCCCCCCCCCCATTCATCCCGTCTCATCACTGTCATGGCAGCAATAAAACTATATGCACAGGATATAACCGTTAAGAAGCCTGTCAGTAACTGTACAGTTCAGTTTATATCCTGTGGTGTTTAAACATTATTAAAGCAATGAGTTTGCATTAAGACTTTGTGAATTCTGCAGCAATGATGACGACGACGGGTGAACTAGTGATGAACTTGGGCCAGCATGCCCACAGCGAAGTCTTGAATCTGGCAGCCAGGAGACTGTTGGGAATCTTTCCCTGAGAGAGGAGAAGAAACAAGCAGCTTTTTCAGCTCGCTCGAGGAGTTCTTTGGCCCCGAAAAAAAAGAAACGTCTGTTAGATCGATGACATAGCTGAATCATAAAAAAGACTAAATGAAAGCTGGACAGACACATGTCTTTTTTTTTTTCCTTCCTTTTTGCAACTGTTAAGACTTTTCCCCCCTCAAATTCCTGCTGGTTCAACCGGAGCCCAAGGATAAACTCCGGTTTGAACCCTTTCACACACAGATGTGCTCTTTCTCGTTTTACTCCCACCATTTCTCTGACCTTCCTTTCTTTCTTTCGGATTGGAAATGAAGCGGATGCAAGGATCTGGTGATGATTGTGAGCTGGAAAACAGGTTTGATGAAGGATTAGAGCCTCACTCTAAGTCAGGCTTTTCCAAAGTTTTCAGAGATGGAGCTGCAGATAAAAATATGCTTCAGCAAATACTGCTGACATCAGATAATGAGGAAACCATGATTTTAAGCAACCATGGCCATCTGCCTACTTAGATATCACATCACACAACATCCTCTACACTCATTGACGCCGCTAAAGGAAATTATTGTGGGAACACCAACAATTCCTTCAAAACAAAAGAAATTGAAACATTTTTAACAACAATTACATTTAAAACTACTGGAACTAAGACAATTAACCAGGACCCAAATATATTATTTCCAACCAACCACAGGAAGTAATATGGCCAATGAGGTTAAAGAAATCCTCCAAATGTTCAAAACTTTACATCTAAAAAGCTTCAGTTGTATTATATATGTTAATTTTCATGCAATGTCTTACAAAAAAGACCCAGTGTTGAGTAAAGCAGAGGATCTGTGATGCTGTGGGCTTGATTTAGTTGGAACGTATTTGAAAAGAACATCATGAGGAACTTTGTGAGATAGGATTTTTTTATTGCTAAAATTTAGAGATGATGGGAGAAAAAAAACAAACAAACAAAAAAAAAATGGATTCCACAGGAACAACACTTAAAGTTGGATTACTGTAAATGCTTCTGTGTTAAATTATGATGTTGCAATGCAAGATGATTTAATGGCTTTTTACAAATCTTTACCAGAGTTACCAAGAGGTTTGCTACCAAACACCACCTGAATTAATGCATATAATAATTTTACATGCATCATTCTTGTTCCAGCTCTCATAAACCTACAAAGCAGTGATAGAGTTGTTTCCTTCCCGCTATCATAATCCTCATCACCATGCAAGGGACGAAAAACATCCACTTGCTCAACCAGACCAACAGCAACACTAACGACTCCCCATTACCAAGAGGTGGACCTGTTCTTTCGCTTAAATTTGCATGTTTTCTAAGCCATAACAAGGCTTTGTTGGGCTACTCTATAAAGCTTGGAACTCAAAGCTAATCCAGGCATTTTGAATTGAAAAAGCTTCCTCGATGGGAAGCGAAACATCTTCAAACTTGAAAACCAAAGTCCAGTGGATTTTTTTTTTTTTTTTTTTGATTGAATTCCTTCATTCCAACAGTGACAATCCAAAATGTTTGTCTAGCAGTCGAACATGTAAGAAAATAACTTTTTTTAAGCATGGCTAATAATCAAGGTTCTAACTTAGAAAAAAAAACACCAATTGGGAAACAGTTGTGGATTCTGGAATTACTGAATACCTGATCTATTTAATTCTATCACAACTCTTAAAAACACCACACACAAGAGCACTAAGTCACAGCCTGAGGATCTACGGTCAAACAGTAAACACACCAGGTCTGTACAGCAGTTCAAATTGGTCCACCTAAAAAAGAAAAAAAAAACACACAAAACAAAAAACAGAGTATGGACATTTTTAAAGACACAGAGAGAGAAAATAAACCTGACCTTTCAGGTTTGCTTTAGAGATAAACAGAGAAAACCATGCAAGTGTCAGTCAAAAGGCAGCGTGCATGAGAAACAGGTCATGTAAGGCCAGAGTGCACAGTGCAAACCTAAAAACTACCTCTGAGGAGCAGCTCTGAGTCTACGGGACAGCAGCACTGGGTTCAACCCTGTGGACAGTGCCGTGGGGGCGGGGTGAATTTAACTCATTTATTTCCATTAGGAGGGAAATATCAACAGAATATTTACAAACCAAAAGTCGGCAATTCCAATAAAAATGTCAAATGAAATGCATAAAACCAATAAGAAACTGAAATAATGACATTAAGTTTTTTTATATACTGCACCTGCGGCCGCTGGAGTCCCTGAGCACCGCAGCTCCCGGGTCAACAGCCCGCGCCTCCAGTTCCTGCACCTCCTCCAGCAGGGACTTCCTTAAAGTGCGTCGTGTGCTGCAGAGAAGAAACCAACTCATCAGAGCCGTGAAGGAAAGTCTGGGTTGCCTTTCTGTGCAGACGTGTGCAGCTCGCGTGTCAGTGTTGACATAAGCTCAATATGGGTTATGTAAACGATTGGATCAACTTATATACGTTCTTTAGATTTTTTTTTAACGCATTTACAATGAATGTGCTCTACTTACGCTGCCCAAGCGAAATCTTTCAGTAAACAGGCGGTGGGTACTAGGACCAGGCCCAGCCAGAAGTACCAGCACTGCATCACTTTACCAGCCTAAAACAATAAAGATACATTTGGTTTCACTTGTGATTGATTAAATTAAATAAAGAAAAGGTTTCTCCCAACATCTAGTGCCCCCCTATAGTTATTTTATTCCAGTAATTTAATTGGGGTTTAAATATAGAAGTACAAAGTTGTGATGTGAAAGAAAAGGGATACTTAATTGTAAACTCTTTACAGTTCTTAGATTCCTGCATTATTTTCTTACCCCTTTCACTATTTTATGCTTTCAAATGTTTGACTCTAGCATAAAATCCAGATAGGATACCTTCAATTTGATGGTTTGAAATATTTCAAGGGAGAGTTACAGAGGTCTATATTCTGCTGCTGTAAAACGAAAAACAGGAGGACCCCCCCCCCCCCACCTGTCGGTGCAGTCCAGCTGCAACACGACTCATTGACCTTTAACCCCCGTTCTTGGTCCGTCTCCTGAGATTAATCACCCGTCCAACCGCTGTCTCATTTTGTCAGTCTGCATGTCTCTTTCTGCTCCTCACTCCCACACATCTTTCTCCCGCGATCCCCTTCGATCTCACTCTTTCGCAACCTTCTTTCATCATTAGTGACTGTTGTCTCTGCTGCTTGTCCTCACCTGCTGTTGTTAATCTTCGTCATCTGCTTCCCACACAACTTTTAAAAAAGTAAGTCTCTGTCTGCAGCTAAAGACACAAACTGCCATCTCAAACCCTGCATAGGGACTTCTACTGTTTCAGTCGGTTTAACCGCACAGATTTGAACACAGTCGGGTTCCTGGAGAGGAAGGGGCCGAGGTTCAGACTTACCCATCAAGGGTTCTCTCCTTTTTTTAAATAATCACAGAGACATTTCAAATTTTAGGTTTTAAGATGAAGGAAAATAACTTGCGAAAAAAGAGAATTAAAGGGGAATGCCGTTTTTTTTTTACATTGGGCCCTTGATTTTACGTTATAACATCATGTTCTACTCATCCATATGAATTTTGTGTCATTTGGAGCTGTTCTGAATATATTCGGTTAGGTTATATCCAAGTAACGTCTTCCTATGGGCAACGACTTGAAGGCACAAACTAAATTGTTCATAATTTATTTTTTATGGTACGGCAGCATTCATAACATGTAGGCGAATCACTGTCCTCAAAACATCCTCGGTTATATTTTTTATATTTATATCTTTTAAAAACAAAGCGGCGTGTGTATGACGTCATCCTTGCACGCCGGCTACCGTTCATTCTTCCTGTCCGCTGAACTGCTGCTAGTTTTACTCACATGCCTGGAAGATGTCTAGTGCTACTACCACAGATGCTCTCCAAATGGAATTGAACGATTCAGATTAGCTAGCCGAATATATAAGAGGTAGAGCATAGCCGCCTGTGGCCCGGGCTTCCTGTTACGACTCCAGTGTGCATGCAAGGATGACGTCATACACGCGCCGCTTTATTTTTAAAAGATATAAGTATAAAAAATATAACCGCGGATATCTGGGGAACAGTGATTCGCCTACGTTATGAATGCTGGCGTACCTTTTTAAAGTATGACCAATGGAGTGCTGACATTTTTAGAAAATTCAGTCAAAAAACATTTTTTTTTCTCACTTAAAAAGGATAAAAAACATATTTTTCTGTTGTATTTAAAATCAATTTCTTACAGAAATGCAACTCAATCAGTCAAAGGAGAAAATGCTAACCAGTACACTAACTAGCATTTGTAAATATATCTATTTTCCAAAGATTAGCTGGCTCCTCATCACACTTTGGCCAAAGTGATAAGGAGCCATTGTCAAGTGTCTAGAGAGTCACTTCTTGCTCCAGAGCCACAGGTTACAGAGCCCTGTTTTAGACCTTCATGGTAGTGCACAGATGGAAGCAAGAAAAGTAAATAATATAAGAAAAGACAAAAGGAAGTAATGGACCTAAAAGAAGGAAAGTATAAAAGGAGGATCCAATCAAGGAAAGAAAAGAAAATGAGGCCCAAAGAAAGGAAAGAAAGGAAGGAAGGAAGGAAAAAAGGAGATAAAAGAGGAGTCCAAGGAAGGAGAGAGAGAAAAGGAAGGAGTGGATGATGTAAGTGAGAAAAGAGATAAATATCAGAATGAAAAAATCAGAGGAGTAGGCGAGCATAGATGGAGGGAAGAAAACAAGGAAAGTAGAAAATGAAGAAAGTATTGTACACAAGACAAAGGGGATGCGGGGGGGGCATAAAACGAAGGAGGGGTGTGTAACATAGTTGTGTTCAGTTATTCTGAGCTCCTCTATGTTCTTTTCATTCTCAGCCCCCCTTCTTGTGTGGAAAAATGGGTGTATAGATAGCAGGAGGAGGGGAAATAAGAGAGTTAGGGGGGGGGGTATGATGGCAGAGTGTCTCCGACTATTCCCCCAGTCAGACCGAGCAGCTGCAGGGATATTTGACCGCATTCCTGATTTCTGACACAAATTGAATTAATGGGCTGCAGAGAGTTGAGACGGTCCTGTTCCTTCTCCATGTCCACTCAGCGGGGCACCCACTCCCACCCGGGGCTTTATCCCCCAGACTCTACAAGCAGTCCCCCAATTAAGGGCTTCAACAAACACTCCCCTCATCATCCTCATCATTAACAGCCCACCCTCATGAGTCAACACCTCCACAGAGAGCAGTAAAAGACAGGAGTTCGGGTGACACGCAGCAGGTGCGGGGAGCCCCCCGTCGGGGTACAGCCCTCCCTCCCATGGGAGCTCCAGCAGTGCCGACATAGAACACCCAAGAGGTGAGTCTCCTAGACGCCATGTATTGGTTAACATGGAGGGAAGGAGGAGCAGGAGAGGCTTTAAAAATGAAAGGTTTACTGGGAGGGGCTTGGTGGTGAGCATATTACCTGGCCCAGCATGTCTGGGGCAATTGGGATGGTGGGCCAGAACACAGAGTACACGACGAAGAAGACCATCCAGAGCGCCATGCTTCCCCAAACTGCTAGGTGGGAAAACTACAAAGAGAAAAGGACGGGGAAAACCAGAACAAAAATGGAGATTAGAAGAGAGACAAGACGAGGTTAAATAGCTCACATACAGCTCTGGATATAGTCAACCTTTCCCTCCCTCTTCTTTATCCGTCTCTGTGATGTGCTGTAAGGGGACACTGTGTGAATTCCAGGGGGACCTCACTTCATTACTCCCAGACTGCTGTGTGGACAGCTGAACGGACAAAGGTGTCAGCGCCTCGCTGTCTGTCCTGCCACTCTTTGTCACTGCAGCAGCAGGAACTAACCAAATAATGTCACCATCACAGCTTGAGCTCCTTTTCCCCCCCCAAACTTTACCTCCACTTCTGTGTTTTAAACTGAAAGGTGACTCCGCATAGTCAGTCGTATGCTGAAGGTATAACAAGAAATCTGCATATTGTGTGATTATCTGTGGCTGTCCTGCGACCGGCCTGATGGAAACTCAAGTTCAATTTATTTCAGTAACAATACAAAAAGAATTGCAATCAGCTGTTTCTCTTACACGGTTTAAGCATTAAGAAAAAATAATTCAGAGGAGGCACAGAGATGTGCTAAGCTCTTTAAATAGAAAGCGTATATTCTACAGGTCACACATGCTTGCTGTTCATTCAGGCTATTGGAAAGGCTGAATGAAAGGTTCCTCCGCTTTAACCTTTTGAGCTTTTTACCTTATTATGTGGAAGAGTTTGGAAACACTATGTCAAGTCCAGTCCTCAGAGCAAATATCCAAAATTTTTTTGATACAACCCATTTTTATCACACCTGAAACAAACGAGTGGCTCATTACCATGCCTCTGCTGAGCTAAAGGAGTGGACTGAGCTTTTAGATTCAGGTGCGTCAGAAAAGAGATGCATCTAAAACAGGGGTCGGAAACCCAAACTGTTCAAAGACCCATATTGAACCAAAAAAAACTAATCTGCCTGGAGCCGCAAAGATGTAAAAGTCTTATATAAGCCTCGTATGGCAACACAGGCTATAACTATATTAGCGCACTATAAAAAAAAGGACTATGAGGTCTCAAACATATAATTAGCATTCATGATTTAATGTGTTGCCCAGGGTGTACTCCACCTCTCGCCCGTAGACAGCTGGAGATACGCACCAGCACCCCTCGTGACCCCGCTTGGGATAAGCGTGACTGAAAATGGATGGATGGATTTAATGTTTATTCTGGAGCAAATGTCACATCATGTAACTACTCTGCTGTAGCTACTATATTCGGTGCTTTAAGTTTAAATTCCATAGTAGCACGATGTGAATAAGGAGCAGTGAGCGCTCTTCACTGTGCAGAGTTCACATGACGGCAATCTTCGCTGACAGAAATGTTTATATTTATTGTTTGAATTATTTATTATAAAAAAAAACATAATGAATGTTAGTTTGAACTCCTGCACAACATATTAAATTACACTAAATATCAATCTTTTTCCATTGTCTTACATTTTTGAAAAAACTTCAGGGAGCAGCAATAGCAGCAATAGCCACATGCGGCTCTGGAGCCATCGGTTGCCAACCTCTGATCTAAAAGCTACAGGATGGTAGCTCTTGAGGACTGGACTTGAGCACCCCTGTTCTGGTCAAACACAGCTGTATTAAATGGCTGCAATACTTTCTTAAACTACAGAGTCCCTCTTAAAGGCTTTAATAATTTAATCCCCCTCATTGGGGGTAACACTAGTTATTAGGAGGTGGGGTGTTCTAAGGTTTTCCGTATTTTCTTGTAGAGTATGTATGGGACTTTTAATAAGGTTTTCAAACCTAAGAACAAAAGCTGTCAAGCATGGAGGTGGTAGAATTATGCTATGGGTCTATTTTTTATTTTATAGCTTTTTACAGAACTAGTGGCTCGTTTTTCTGACAGTAGGCTGACAGGAAAGGGGGTATGGGAGAGGGGGAGAGACATGTGGCAAAGACCACAAGCCGGATTCGAACCCGGGTCGGCCGCTTCGAGGACAAAGGCCTCCGTACATGGATTGTGCGCATTAACTACTACACCACCTGATATGGGTCTATTAACTGTAGATCTAGCAATAGTCGTTCCTAATGAAGGAAGACTGCAGCCATATTCAACCTTAGATTCAAAGATTCAACATTTAATTCAGAATATTTTACATTTTATCATTTTTTTGAGTAAAAAAAAAGGGGATGAATATTAAAGCCGTATTTCTTTAAGTTTGCCTGATGAAAATCAGTTTGCGACAGAAATAGACTATGTATTCTGAGGAGTAAGGACTTATTTGAACAATCTCATGCAAAAGTTATAAAGAACCACTTTATAAACATATGGATAAATCTTCCAACAAGTAAGCAAGAACAGAAAATATTTCAGCTAAAAGAACATTGTTAACCGATGGTATTGGTCTATAACAGTTAACAAAAAGCAAAAACAGAAGTGAGAGTTGACCAAATCAGTTTTTTTTTCCACGACAGGACATCTGCACTCTGCATTAGCGTTAGTAAGTCAAATCTGTGTCCCTCAGGTGTTTCTGTCTTTAATATCAGTTTGACAGATGGGAATCTTTTCCTCCCCGGTCTGTTTTTCTGCTTCGCCATGGCTTGTCTGAGCAGCATTGTTCCTCATAAGATGAATCTCTCAGAGCATCTTTAGCAGCCGCTTCACAGTAAGGCCTCCAGACTCAAACGCTAATTCATCACTATTATTTGTATGTTTTCAATACTCTTTGTTTTTGTATGAACAGAATACGGAGTAAAGATAATGCAAACACAAGAAGCAGAAGGAGAGAGATTGTAAAGGACACTGTTTTTGGAGAAAGCCTAAAACCTTCACTACAAGCCTTTTTCCCCAGCAATGCAGCTCTGACATTTAAAAAAAGAAATTAGAAAACCATAATACAATTTTTATTTATGAGCAAAATATGGCACATGTTGCTCTGCTCATTAAAGCTTGTTAATGGTCCTACCCTGGTCCAAGCGGTGGTCTCCATTCCAGCTTTTAGACAAACTGTAACGACCACATACTGCACAGAGACACACAAACACCGGAGGAGGGGCACACAAACAAGAACAGAAGAAAAAACAGGAGACTGCATTAGTACACTGGCGACTGTGGAGACAATAAACATTAATGCTGTACAGTAAACTCAGCAATGTCTGTTAAAATACCTTAGACCCCCACAAGCCCCTCTAAACAAACACACATCAGACACAGATCCTGTGTAATAAAAACAAACACTCCACAGTTAAAAAAAAAAAAAGTCTAATATTAAAGTTCAGTATTAAATAATGACAGAGAAATGTAAGATGTAGGACACAAAGGGAAAGAAAAAAAGGATTAAATAAGGATACATTAAACATAAGAATGAGAGGATGCCTTAAAGGAAATAAAAAAGATTTGAACAACGAGATTATAGATTAAAATCTATTTAAAAAAAAGGATTAAATAAGGCTACATTAAAGGTAAGAATGAAAGGATGCCTTACAGGAAAAAAAAAAAGATTTGAGCAACGAGATTATAGATTAAAATCTATAAAAAAAAAAAAAATCCACTATACATTTTTCAAACTGCCATTAATTTGGGGGTTTTAATTATTTCATATCAACCATCTTTTTATCCCAGGACGATATAAAACAATAAATCATTTCAATTACCTTTAGAAGCAAGAATAAGTTAGACAAGTTTGGATTTATCGTAGATTTTCTCTGATCCACTTGTCAGAAATAGCAGAGGGAAGCGGATTAATAAACTATTCTAAATAACAGCTGGGTAAACGCCCCTTAACAAGCTGCACTTGTAGACCTTAACAATTTATCCTGGTGTAATTCTGGCTAGTCATTTCATTTATCATCTTAGCAAAATGGGTCAATTTAAACTGGTTAAACTATCGAGCTAATGTTTCAAAATCTATGCAAAGGATTAAGATCTTAGTTCAGCTAAAAAATGCTGGGTAATTATTTTATTTTTTAAAAACCCAACAGTCAAAGTTTCCCCCATCGTAACCAACCTGTGACCTGAGATGAAAATGAATTGGTCAGGATGTTGAGAGACAAGGCAGGAACCACCAAGGCTCAGGCGGATCATAAATTAGAACATACAGGAAGACCAGCCCCCCACCCCCAGAGGGAAACGATTGAAATCACCATGGAGGGAGAGGATGCTTATGAAGAAAGAGGGCCATCATGTTCCAAAACTGACACTTTCAGACAGAAGGGAAGCCTACATCTGTCCACTTAAATGACCTCATGGAAAAACAGTTTTACACTCAGGTGATACGAATATGGAACACAACAGCAGAAACAGCAGAAGCTTTGGTAGAGTCAAAGCCATATATTAAAATCTGAAAATACTGAGCTTTATAAAAGTGTGGTAGTGGCGGCATCATACTGTGGGGTTGTTTTACTGCATGTGGTAATAAAAATATTATTTTATAATTATTTATCATTGACTGAAACAGCTGCAGAGACCTAGATTTAAATTGTGTTAAGCCGATGAGCAATAAGCCCTTGGAAGAATCCAGACTTCAATCTATTTGCATTTGTCTTTATTTGTGGAACACGGTGAAAAAAGCCAATACAAATTTTAGCTTGTGCAACCAGTTCTTCTTTTATATTTTTTATAATTAAGAGACGTTTTTTGTTTGTAAGCTCATTTAACTGTTCAAGAGAAAACAGTTAAAATGCATATTTCAAAGCCTCAAGTTAATATTATATTCGTGTGCATCTAAATGTTAATTGGCACCAATAAGCTTGGAGCTGGGATACGGTGCAAATCCTGGGGAAGAGTTTGCACACAAGTCGGCTGCCAGAAAATACAAGCAAGAAGATTACCGTGTAGACCATGTTTCCTGCAAACAGGTAGTCGTTTCCCTGACCGTTACTGAATGGAGAATCTGTGGACAACAAATAGGAAGCTTTGAAACTAAATATAAGGGAGAACTAATTATACAAGAAGAAAATCAGTATGATTTGCTTACCGTGCTCTAACATTTTTAATGGGAACCAGAAGAGGATGATTGAATGAATGAGTGCATTGATACAGTGTCCCCAAAACACCTGAAAGAGGGTAGGAGAAAACAAGAAGAATGATACCAAAATACAAATACGACAATTATTAGCTAGAGATGCATTAAAATGGCTAAAATAATATCATCTTCTGTTTAAAAAAATAATTTAGCAGTGAATGTTTCACAGTTGGAGCTTGAAGACGCACAACATGGTCAAGATGTATTGTAATGGGAAAAAAAACATATTTATTTACTCTGAGACTGAATTACTGAGCATTGGAGGACGAGTTATCAGTGAGGAGTTCTTGAGATAAACAGTCTTCCTGCATTTTGTTTTGGCATATGAGAATAAAGGGGTTAAAAATCTCTCTTAACTGAAATAAAATCCCTGACAAGCACATTGAAGTTTCTGTTTGTAATGTGAGAAATATTTTAGATTAAGTTTGTGAGGTTCAAACATCCGGAAAGCTGTTCTGCAACTATAATTAATTTATATTTAAATTTATACAATGGGGCTGCACGGTGAACACGTGGTTAGCGCTGCTGCCTTGCAGCAAGAAGGATCTGGGTTTGATTCCTGGGCCCGGGTCTTTCTGCATGGAGTTTGCATGTTCTCAAGTGTGGGTTCTCTCTGGCTTCCTCCCACAGTCCAAAATCATGACTGTTTGTCCCGCCTCTCGCCCACTGATAGCTGGAGATGGGCACCATCACCCCTCGCGACTCCAGTTGGGACAAAGCGTGATGGAAAATGGATGGATGGATATATATATATATATATATATATATATATATATATATATATATATATATATATATATATATATATATATATATATATATAATTTTTATTTAATTGCAGAAGGTTGGCAGGGACAAGCCCATGTATGTGATAATGCACAGTTCTGATTCGGGGTGGGTATTGGCAAAGAAGTCACGATTCGATTCGAATCACGATTCACATGCCATGATGCAATTCTATCACGATGCATCACGATACTTGAAATATTGCGATGTATCGTGATGCGTTGCGATATTTTCACTGAACACTGTAGTAAAAGGATACAGCCATTACCAGTGGCTGACTGGCTGTGTATGATCTGGATAGTGTCTTCAATTGATACATAACTGAAAGCAACTGAATTCATACATAGCTGTATTTATTGAAATTACGTTTGGAGGTGTTGCCATGAAAACAAATACTGGACACAAATATTACTATTACTGGCGTGGACACACTGACAAAAAAATCTTAGGATTCAGCAAACTTAAAATAACAAATTAAGGATAATCAGAATCGAGACTACACGGAAATAAAAATTGTAGGGTGTAGCATTTTACATCTAGTTATTGAATGCCGATGGGGATTAGGAAAAAAAAAAAAGGTTAAGACATTAGATAAACCCCACCTTTATTTATAACTGTCAGTAGGAACAACTTTATACTAGAAGCAAATGTTTTGCACAATATTGGGAAAAACTGCAATATGAGATAATACTGATGATTTTATAACCATATGACTTGCAAATAATACAGTAATTAGAAAGTGTTTCTGGTTTGATGTCAAAGCAAACAAGGATTCCAGATAATAAACAGTCTATCCAACTGCAGGACAAATTAATAAAATGTATAATTTGAATCTGAACAAGGTACAACCAAGGTGACCTCTTCTGTTTGCTCTAGAAACCAATTAAAGTTGAATGACTTGGCCACTTTACCAATTCTATGCCATTTTTATGCTGCATGCATCATCAAATAACTTAAAGAGTTCCTGAATGTCTGATATTTAAATAATAAGCTAACCCTTATTACAGTCCAGGTAGTTTTTAGAGGCGTACATAAAGCCAACTGCAACATTGCCTTAATTAATAATGTAGAATATTCTGCAGTCCTAATTCCTTTCCTATTTTTTTTTTATCATTTTTCCAATTTTCTATGTTGCTTGACATTTATACCCCCAGGAAAACAGAAATTTACCACCAGAAAGTAACATATACATTCGAAATGTTCTTGTTATACTTATTTTAAAAGTTGTTCTTACTGATATTAAAATATTCAGTGCTTTTGTCTGCTTTTCACAATTATTTGTTTTTGCACATCTCGGGTGTTGCCGCTATTTTTCACATATCCATTACTGTAAAAATGCCCAAAGCTGTTTTTGATTTTTGATTTGCCAGATACAGTAATATATTATAAAAACACTACAGTACAATAACACCACAAATTCCCCATTGTGGGACAACAAAGGGATTGTCTATTTTTTTGCAAAACTATTTTTCAGAAAGAGATGATGCAAAAAATTATTTTAAAGCTCCTTTTAACATTTCAACAGGAGAAGCTAACGAATGTGGATGGCACTTATTGCCTCACACAAATAAAAATAAAAACACGCAGGAGAGGCAGCTACTTACAGTAATGCACAACCTTCCCTATGTCCCACCAAAGCTTCATCCTGTGCAGCACACACTAATCAGCGTGCACACAGCAGGATCAAATGAAAGAGTTTCTTATTCCGTAGCTGTGGATTTCATTAAGGCTTAGTTTACTCGCTCAGATCCATCCGGCTTCACTCATCAGATCACAAACATCCACAACAAGCTGGATGTAGATTAAGAAAACCGGAGTAAATACATTTTTTTAAACACACGTACCTTGGTGTTAAAGCCCTCAGCATTCTGGGTTATTCTGTAGAGCTGCGGGAAGCGGAGCATGTTCTGCTGACTGCATGGCCGATCAAAGATCCCCAGAGTAAACGGGGGCAGCGCAGTGAATATCTGCAGACACCAAACATATGCTTGTTCTTATCAGATGGTCAGCGCTAAAAGGGAATTCCATAACGTTCTAAACACTAAGGAGCCCCGAGGCAGCTGCACCCAGACGCAACGTACAAACACGCTGGCGTCTCTGGCAAAAGGAACGATAAGAAGGACGAGTGCTTGAGATCCAGGGAGAGATAATAATAAGAAGCAGCTAGGTGAAAGTGTGAAAGGTGGCTGAGGTGAATACTCACCACGTTGTAGAGGCCTATACACCAGCGCTCAAACAGGATCTGACCTGAGAAGCCGTTCACAAAGGCAAACCAGAGCTGCGGCAGAGAGAAAGGAGGAGAGGTGATGAGAGGAGTCCTGAAAAGCAGCTATTGGCTTTTTTTAATCAGGACTTAGGAGAAGGTACAATCAGACATCAGTAGGGTTGGAAAATTCAGTGCAGGTACTAAAAAAATCAGTCATGGAAACAGTTAAAAATTGACGGATTGGGGTAGAGTGTTTTTTTCCTCTCATTTCAACAGGGTTAAACGCGAAAGTGACACCGAGTATTTGGTAAATATCCTTCAGCAAGTTGCACCTCATTTAGAGGCAAACTGATACATCTGCTGGCTGATATTAGTAGTTTTTCGTTTTCTTTGTGTAAACATCAGCCCATACGTGCATGTGTGAATGCATTTCTGCTCTCTTCTTATGCTATCCGTTACACATTCTTTGGTTTGTTAATAAAATATTGTTTTTTTCAACTGAAGATTGTGTAACCTTTTTTTTTATTACGGTGTCATTTATTTATCATGTATATGGAGGAATAATTTTGTTTTAGGAATCTAACGCCCATAATGGGCAGCACATATAAGAGATCGGTTAAACTGATGTCAAAATAATCAGCATCGGCTGGAAAGAACCTGAATCAGTGGAGCTCCAAGCTCAACCCCGCTCTGCAACCGTTAGGATACTTCTGGCTAGACAGAATAAGCTAACTGCAAGGGAAACATTAAGTTTGTGCTAAATTTGGAAGGATTTAGATTTTTAGTAAAGTTTATTATATCTTAATAGCCTTGAGGTTAGGGCTACCTCTAGAGCTTTATGCTAGTCAGTTTTATCCAGTTTAAAACATATAAAAAATGGTTTTGTTCTTTTTTTATTTCACATTTGCTTGTAATACTTCACCAATTAGTAGGTAAAAATAGACCCTTAGCATTATGCTACCCCTACCATGTTTAGCAAATGCTACAATGGTCTTCAGTTTCAAAGCCTTAGCTTGACCTCAAAACATCCCCATTGTACCAAATTGTGTCAATCTTTGTTGATAATGACACAAACATCCTGCTGAGTTTCTACTCATATTTATGGACAGCATATTTCATGCAAGCTTGAATGTGTCACTTCTTACATCAGGCGCTTTTTTACATGTCGGCAGCCTAAAGCTGAATTTAGAACAGATGTGGACACTGGAAACTAATCTTCTAGTTCATAAAAAGCTCAAGCCATGTCAGATTATAAAGAAGTTCCATTTAAGCTGAGACAGAAAGTTTGGAGAGTCAAATGGTTAAAAGTTGGACATCCATCGACGTTCCACCTGGACAATGAGAAATGGTTATATAGGCTTAAGGGCTGGTTATACTCTTGCTGCAGTGTGTCGCAATGAGCTTGACGCAGAAATTTTTGATTTATGCTCAATTTTGAGCGTGGTCCGCTCTATACACTGTGGGTCTAGGTACAGCTGAGGTGGAGACGAAGTGGGGGCAAGTTTGTCCAACAACAGAGGGACATGTGGGCCAAAAAGAGCGGGGATCCAGGTGGAAAAAGGGTCCCAGCGTTTTGGTGCACCCCGCTCTTCTAGCTGGTCCAACTTCACGAGTTGTTTTCCGCGGTTGCGATCATAAAAACAAAATAACCCTGTTTGCGGCGCTGTCTGCGGTCAGCTACAATTTAGGAGAGGTGCAGCAGAGTGTCTGCGGAGAGGGCGGGGAAGTCTCTGAGTTCACTGCGTCACCTACGCAGACGACCTAGATTTAAAGCATAAATCAGCCTCTAGGGGAACTTGTTAATGATAAAAAAAGCCTGTGGTGGAGATGCAGCTTGCTAAAGGATAACTACCAAGATATTTCTGAGGGCTGAATGTTTACATCCAAGTCTGAAAAAAAATTCAAATGCATAATACTATATCCAGTATAATAACCACAGGGAATGGCCTTTGACTAGTTCTGTAAGATGAGTACAACATAAGTCTGAGCCTTCATTAGTCCACAAGCTGATCTCAGGTCAGATAGATGAAATTCTTGGGGCCACTGCCGGGAGCTATGCTATTACCACAGCAAACAGCCTAAGGGGGAGATCAGACACAAACACAGCCCTCCCACTTATTGTGTCCTCTAAGTGAACGGAGACAGTCTCCAACATCTGGCCCAGAATGCTTTGCTGGAATCCAATAAAATGAGACAATGCAATAAATATATATGAAGTGATAAAGAGCTGCTGTTGGAACTGGACGGTAGTAGCTCAAGCCTCCTGGGAGAGCCTGAACCTGCTGTCGTCTTTTTAAAGCAGCGTGAGGTGCAGGGGATGAGGACAGCTGACAGCGGGCGGACCGAGGGTGCAGCAGACCCAGTCGTCTAATAAAGACATTCCAGCTCAAAGTAACAGACAACCATCACAAAAGCTACTTTTAAGCATTTTATCAAACCATAACTCCTGCTTCCTGTACATCATCCCTGATGAAAAACCTGCACCGACACCTTTCGCACATATGGATTATTTTGGCCCCAGAGAAACAAAAAAAAGGACATTAAATATATGCAATTAAGAACGTGCACAAACAGCAGCTGACCTCACAGCCCAAAATCTCACCTCAGCCGATTTAAAACGCTTTTAAGTATATATTTCACAAAAAGGATCCATATAAATATATATTGTGTGTGGGAAGGAAACAGCAGATACCAGAAGGTCACCTCATCCATCACTGTCAGCCATGTCGACAAACAGCTGCCAAATGTCTCTGTTAATGTAACTGTGTGGGGGTGTGGGCTCTTACCTCTATAATGTAGAGCACCACATTCTTATAGAAACAGTAGAGGATGCATTTTGTGACGCGATTGTAGCTCCATGCCCCGTGGACCAACAGGAGCTTCTCCAGATAGCAGAACTAAGAAGGGGGAAGTAAGAGAGAAAGATGTTAGGGATTAAAAAAAGGAAAGAAAGGAAAACTGGTTTCAAATAAAGCAAGGCACCCAAAAATAGGAAGTAAAAGTTAAAAGGACTTGGATTAATTAAGCTACGTTGATGTAGCTTCAGAATATGTTGCAGCTTTATCTGCAGTGCATCGTCACTGTACTTTACATGATGTAAACATTGCAAATAAACCGCACAGAAATCAGCCCTCCATTCAAGCTCTAAGCCAGTAATATACAGTTTGTTGTGTGATGGAGCAGAATGATTTTGAGGGCCTTTAATGAAGAGCAGACATGTCTTAAAGAGCTATTTCAGTCACACCATGTTAGTGGTTTATTAGAATGAATCTGCCTTTCTCCAGGAACTGCATAAATATGAATAATCTTGCAAAAGTTGAGCCTATGTTTTTATTCATGAACAGCTTTGTCCTCACTGGAACATTCCTCAACATTATAGCAGTATCCAATGCCATTATTATATAACAGCAAAATCTTGTTTATAGTGAAAAGCTTCAATCAGCTGATTTGTTCTTGAACAACATTTTTTAATTGGGATGTCACAGAAAGAGATCAACTCAAGCTGTCGCTCCCCTCATTTCTCCCTTCTTACTCAGGGGTCACAATTGCTAAGCCTAGTTTATATTTAAATGTCAAAATCAACACGTTCAGCAAATCTGACTTGGAAACTTGGGAGGATCCTCACCCAACCTGGCCTCAAAACCTCCGCAAATAAATCTGGTGATGAATACAGCAGAAACCTGTTTGGTTTTTGTTGCGCTTTTGATGGCTGGTATGATATTATCTCTACCATACATAGTGCTGTATTGACTGATTGAATCATGCAAACAGGGCTTAAAAACAAACCTTTCATACCCCTACACATTAAGTATAACTTTTAGTGCATTTTATAAAAGTAAGCAGCATAAGGTGGCGAAATGTTATGAAGAGGAAGAAAATAGCAGCTTTCATAGTTTTATAAGTGACATCTAAATTGTACAGCAATCTGTTGCAACAAACCCCATTTACTATAATACACTTATATAAAATCCAGTGCAGCCAGGTGCCTTTTAAAGCGCCTAATAAATAAAATGGAGTCCACTTGTGTTAGGGTTAATTACAGTATAAATGCAACAAAGCACCAGTAATACATGCTGTAGGTTTTGGTTGTTAAATTGCTAAATGGAGAAAAGTTTAACGATTTTATTTTTACTTTCACTATTTTTTACTTTTTTGTTAATTTCTGCAGGGACAGTACTAAACGTTGTAACCCTTTTACAGGGCTTCTAGTGAAAGGCTAATTCACTGCCCCGTCCAAAGTCTTTTTCATCCAAAGAAAATAAATTAAGTATTGCTATGAAAATAAAAGTTATATTACACAGCTAGAATTACATAAAACCAGATCAGGATTATTTATATCTTTATATATAATAATAAGCAAAAATTTACAAGAACCATTAAGCAACATATTTGTTTTAAGTGTGAATGTTTAACACACTTAAACATTTGTGCATGATATAGGATAAAATGCGATTTTGGTTTTCCTTAAAACATTGAGTGAAATCAATGTGCATTCATTGTTTATTGACGAAACTTAAACAACAGCACTGAATATGAAATAAAGGCCATCACTGGAAACTGTGTGACATCTTTATTCTCCCCTTGTGTTTTGACTGTTATAGCGATACTTTAGATTGTAAAGGCCTGTTTATACCAATGTTTCATATAGGTAATATGACACTGCACTGATCTTTGTAAGGGAAATCTCCTTTCATTCCCTCCCCTAAGGTAAGGTTAAAGAGCAGGATTAGATGAAGAGTCAGTAAGTGAAGACCTTTCAGTGGATCAACAACTATTGTTCTCCTCTTACAAACTGCTAACAAGAACATTAATTACTATAATGACCCAGGTCTAAATGAGCTGAACAGGTGCTTAAAAAGTCATATATAACTGTTAATTTGCAGCTATCAGTTTGGTTTAAGGAAATAGCTTTGTATTTTAATGGTTTTAAAGCCTTGAATGCCAAAGCCCGCCATGTTAATCATTTTAGACGGTTGACATCTCGTTCTCAGGACTTATTGGTTGTTGTTTCCCCCACGTTTCATAATTAGAGTTTGAGGCTTGAAGTAGATGATATTTTCCAGATCAGTAAACACACACAGCATGGTGCTCCTTACAACTTTCCAGGTGGAGGTTTATTAGAGGTCAGAGAAGTCATTCGTTTCAAAATAAGTTAGCAGAAAGCTACTGGAAAGAAAGCTGTCTTTTCTGTGTTTATTAAATATGCTGAGACATGATTGTTTATTCCCACTGTGAGAGAGTCAGCCTTTGGGATGACAAACAGGAAGGCCCAACATGGTAAAGCAAAAATTATTCATTTTGTACATTTTAGCTTTCAGACTCTGCCAAAGAACACCGTGGATTTGGTCGTATTTGCAGCTTTTAAGAAACCTTAGAGTTTAGCTAAGGGTTTTTGTTATTTTATTAATACTTGCAGGGACTCCCAGCTCTGTAACGCTAGCTGTGCTAACATAGCTAATCAGTAATATAAGCTGATGAAGAAAGTTAATCAACTGGGATCCCTGTAAACATTTGTCTTAAAGGTTTACAACCTTATTGTACAATGACTGCTTTGTGCACTGGAAGGTGACAGCTGTTCCTCATAAGAAAAGATGACTGCTTGCAATGGAGGAATAGAAATAATTATCTTAAATTTTGTTCTTATATGATGCTCTTTAAAAGAGGAATCAGAATTGACATGTATTGCTATTGCGACATCAAAGATTAACGAAAACAGGGAAAATTTGCCCAAAAATTAAACAGTGTACTCAACTCTTTTTGTCACCTGGAAGTTGCTAAAGATGTTGCAGGACGCTTTGAATGAATAAAAGTGATAATGTAGGTCAAAGGATTAATAAACCATATTTACATCTACCTCTATGTGGACTATTTTTGCTTATTGTCATGCAATGCATTTATATTTATTCTGTCTAATTCTAAATCCTAACAACAAATTAATTCTTGCAGTGGCTCCTTATGTTCACACACTTGTTTTATTTTATTTGTGTCCTCTAAATAATATCTTTGTATTTTGATGGACAAAAGGTTTTTGATACAGTGTTCATTTTTTGAAATATTTATCTTGAAATAAAAAAAAATGTGGCAGCCATATTTCTACTTCACACTAACCACAGTGGCACTGGGTATATAAACTCTACTAATGGCTCTTTTCAGATGTCAGATTGCTGTTTGTAATGAAGTAGTTAGGAACACATCGACTTGACTAGGTCTGCTCCCACCTGTGCGATGGAGTAGTCAGAGGAGTTGGTGGCCTGCATGCCCTCGTTGCCGCTGATTCCCACTCCAACGTGAGCCGTCTGGATCATGCCCACATCGTTTGCACCGTCGCCTATTGCCAGAGTGATGGCTTTTACGTGCTTTTTCACCATGTCCACAATCTCTGACTTCTGCAGGGGAGATACTCTGCAGTGAACAGATGGAGATTCGCTGGTTAATATTAAATGGATGCAGCTGCCTGGACTGGGTAGGTAATTACAGACAGGAAGGACACAGGACTGTAAATGTATTGTAAAAAAAAAAGGTATAAAATCAGTCATTAGCGAAAACAAAGCCAGCTGTAAATGAAAAAAAAAAAAAAGAAAAACAGATGAAGAAGCTGTTGGAAACGCAGTTTTAACAAGGCTTTTAAAAAATTGCAAACTTTTTCTGCTGAATAGATCTGGGGAAACTCCTACTGGATGTGTGCTGCATCCTAAAGCTCAGGGAGCTTCCAGAGGTACTCCACCCTCTTGACCCGTATCACTGATACTCAGTCTATAACCGGTTCAGCCTCTCCACTGACAAAAGAAGACCACAGGAGGTTCAATTACAGGTGCTTCCCTGAAGGACGCTGAGGGAGGATGGTGAGTGTCAGGCTGCATCTACTGAACCACTGAGAGGATGTGATCTAGGAGTACTGATTCGTATCTATGGCTAGATGCTACAAACCTTTGATAGTAGACATTAATGCCTTCCTGTTTGACTTTGATATGAAAAAACATGAAAATGTTTTATTGATACTATAAGCTGTTGATGGACCAGAGTTGTTGAGTAGGAGAGTTTTGCCCGTGAAAGACTAATAGTTCACTTGCTAGGGTGTCCAGGAGTTTGGTGGAAATGGTAGATGGCCCATTGAAAATGCACCCAGACCCGTAATTATTTCACATACTATACAAAAAGATTTCTGATTGAGAGGTTTTAGTCCATATATATATTGAGTCTGTTTACATTTTTAGATGTTTATGTTTAGTTTACATGATCAAAAATGAGTAGGGCAACCTAAATATCAGTTTCTATTGCCATGCTCTTCTAACGTCTAAAGCAGAGGTCACGGATTAGCGGTCTGGATCTGGACCCACCTGCCGGCTAATCTGGACCCAACAGGATTTAAAACATTTATAAATTACTGCATGTTGTCCAACGACAGTGTCCAACTTCACTTGCATCGCTTCTCCTGTTAACATGGTAAAGCCCTCTGGAGCGTCCGGGACCTCGCTCGCATGTCAAACAAATTATCCAATGAGCTGTCAGTCTGGGTCACTGATAAGAGCCAATTCTAGACACCGCAGACAAACCTGAGGCAAGCCGGGCGAAGGGGAAAGAAGGAGAAGACGATGAGAAAAAGAGAGCAGAGAAAGTTTGGACTGCTGGAAGAACTGCGTTGAACTGATGAAAGAAAAGTGAAGTAGTGTGCTCAAAGATGACCCTGCACATTTTGAGTATGTTTGGCTCAACCTGCTGCTGTGAAGCAGGATTCTCCACCAAGAACATAATCAAAAATAAATATCGATCCAGGCTCACGAATGAACACCTTGATCTGTGCTTGAGAATGGCTTTGTCTCCATTCAAACCCAGTTTTAAAAGCTTTGCAGGGCAGCCTAAAGCCCACTTTTTTCATTAAGCCATAAAAAAATAATAATAATAGTAATAAAATAAATAACAAACCGTCAGTTCGTGTTTTTTATAAAATATGTGAATCAGGAAATTGTCTATATACCAAATTAGATTTTAAAATGGAAAAATTTTATACGGGTATATATTTTTTTTCTATATATTTTTTTATTAAAAAAAATCAATGTATAACATGGATGCATAAAATCCTAGTTTTATTTCATTCTTAAACTCTGTTTAAAGTAACAGATTATAATTAATGTCTCTGGACCTTTACTGGTTGATGATTTTCCTTATTCGGACCTCGCTGATTTTTAATTGGTGACCCCTTGTCTAAAGCAATACTCGCTAACTCCATTTAAGCTTCATGCACTGCCGTTGCTCTTTAAAATGTCGGCCATTGTCGTCAATAGAGTTTTCATAACTCTCTTACAAAGATGGCTCTGGTTTGGACATGCTGGAGAATACAGAGAGGATAGATTGAGCTCATCTCTTTAATAAAAATGAAACCTGTTTTATTCAGTGTTAGACTTTATTTCATCAGAGTGTCTTGGAAATGCACTAATGCTCCTTTTTTTCTACATACCTATCATAAACTGCTATGTATTTTTTATGAATCTAGACAAGAAGCTAACACAGACGCATGATACACTGTCTTCAATTTGTTCTCTCAATCTAAGAAGCATTATTATTCAAACCGTCTGGGTAAATCTATTGCAAGGAAAACCTTTTGCTGAGGTTAAAGTTACAGTTGAATAGATATCTGTAAATAATAAACTACTGCAGTTCATAATAATGCAGGTTTTAAATATTGTTTAATGAGTAGCAAAAGCCCTCTAACTGACCTCTGAGGCCTTCACAAAACAGCTGGACTTATAGTAAGATTAAATCAAACACAGGTGGACTACATGTAAATTAGTTTATAAAGCTATTAACTAGTTTATAAAGGTATGCTGCGCTCCGTGGAAAAAGTTCAAGAGATAGGAACGCTTTTAGTTTCAGTTCAGACTGAAGATTTCCTGACCCAATGTCAAGAAAAAGAAATGGTATCTAACAAATTCCTGCCCAATCTCAGCTCCAGATTTCTCTTTTTAGGGTACTGTGATTTCTCACATCTCTAGTGAATCAAGTTGCTATGTTTTGGCCTTTTTAAAAAAATTAACTTTATTCACGAGCATTCTTTAAAAAAAAAAAACTGTATATCAGGCCATGCATCTGCAAAAATCTTTGCCTAGCAATCAAAGATTGATGTACACCATTTAAAATCACTTTCATAGTAAAATAGAAACTTTATGGTTTGCTAAATAATTTCAACAAAAATAGGTACCAGATTGAAAGAGGAAACTCTAGATCAATAACATCTTATTCGGTCTTGCATCTGGAATCTCTTCAACTTCCTTTTAGAAGCAGAAACTAACTTGAGAGGCCTTTAGAAATCAGGGCTGGAAAAGGCAATTCATACAACATTTATTTTCACTATTCATTTTGAAGTAAACATTATCTTCATGCTTAATGGTTTGTAATCCAGGGAGGAAGCTGCACGAGTAAAAAACAATCCTGGCCCACACACAGTGTTTGCATTCTTAGAAGTTGCACCCTGGGCTGAATCAGTCCATACAGCTGCTTAAAATACCCTCTGTGTGTGTCAGTCACTTCCAGCTAAACTCTTAAAAGAGTTTCATCATGAGCTATCTGAAAAATGTCCAATAAAAACAAATATGTCTCCTAAGAGGAACCATCTCAGAAATATGATACAAACACTAGAATTGAATAGCATGAATAACAAAAAACTCAACTCATGTCTTAATTTAGGATATTTGTATTTTATGAATTTTTAAACAGATCAAAGTAATAATTTTAATCCTTATACACTATATTGCCAAAAGTATTTGCTCACCTGCCTTGACTCACATATGAGCTTAAGTGACATCCCGTTCCTAATCCATAGGGTTCAATATGACGTCGGTCCACCCTTTGCAGCTAGAACAGCTTCAACTCTTCTGGGAAGGCTGTCCACAAGGTTTAGGAGTGTGTTTATGGGAATTTTTGACCATTCTTCCAGAAGCGCATTTGTGAGGTCGCACACTGATGTTGGACGAGAAGGCCTGGCTCTCAGTCTCCGCTCTAATTCATCCCAAAGGTGTTCTATCGGGTTGAGGTCAGGACTCTGTGCAGGCCAGTCAAGTTCATCCACACCAGACTCTGTCATCCATGTCTTTATGGACCTTGCTTTGTGCACTGGTGCACAGTCATGTTGGAAGAGGAAGGGGCCAGCTCCAAACTGTTCCCACAAAGTTGGGAGCATGGAATTGTCCAAAATGTCTTGGTATGCTGAAGCATTCAGAGTTCCTTTCACTGGAACTAAGGGGCCAAGCCCAGCTCCTGAAAAACAACCTCACACCATAATCCCCCCTCCACCAAACTTTACACTTGGCACAATGCAGTCAGACAAGTACCGTTCTCCTGGCAACCGCCAAACCCAGACCCGTCCATCAGATTGCCAGATGGAGAAGCGCGATTCGTCACTCCAGAGAACGCGTCTCCACTGCTCTAGAGTCCAGTGGCGGCGTGCTTTACACCACCGCATCCGACGCTTTGCATTGCACTTGGTGATGTATGGCTTGGATGCAGCTGCTCGACCATGGAAACCCATTCCATGAAGCTCTCTGCGCACTGTTCTTGAGCTAATCTGAAGGCCACATGAAGTTTGGAGGTCTGTAGTGATTGACTCTGCAGAAAGTTGGCGACCTCTTCGCACTATGCGCGTCAGCATCCGCTGACCCCGCTCCGTCAGTTTACGTGGCCTACCTCTTCGTGGCTGAGTTGCTGTCGTTCCCAAACACTTCCATTTTCTTATAATACAGCTGACAGTTGACTGTGGAATATTTAGGAGCGAGGAAATTTCACGACTGGATTTGTTGCACAGGTGGCATCCTATCACAGTTCCACGCTGGAATTCACTGAGCTCCTGAGAGCGACCCATTCTTTCACAAATGTTTGTAAAAACAGTCTGCATGCCTAGGTGCTTGAATTTATACACCTGTGGCCATGGAAGTGATTGGAACACCTGATTCCAATAATTTGGATGGGTGAGCAAATACTTTTGGCAATATAGTGTATGTAGTTGCATGCACATGGTTAATGACATTCAGACAACACATTTATAGAAAAAACAAAGATTTTAAGAGGATTTTAGAAGGGAAACTTTTTTCTTTGGATAAATAATGCGGCTTAATTCAAACAACTACAACAGTTTTCAAGTTTTCTACAACTGTTTTTAAGGCTGCCCTTTAAAAATTTAAATTGTCTAGAGCTGTTTTAAACAAAATTTCCTTTTGTATACACTCATGTATACAAAATGACAAAATAAATCTGTCTAAGTCTAAGAGAGCTGGACTCTGATGTTGTCTAGTCATTTAGTTATTTTATTTTATGCTCTTTCAGTTTTGTTGTTTTGTGTTCAACCTTTTCAGATACAAATACAAAACTTTAAAGTTAATGCAAGCTGAACAAAGCAAAGCAGTTCAGTTTAA